GCAATTAATCGAAGCTTTTGTTGTCCTGATTTGAAGACAAATTATAATATTCTCAAAAAAAATGTGAGTGATCTCTCCGGGGTAGAGCTATCAAGTCCCCTCACTCTCTTGTTCCACAGACCAGTAGGGGACACACAGCTCAATGGTAAGCAAGGAACTTACAATGTCTTCAAGATGAGGAGCTTTTAGATTCCCTTTCAAATTACTGTGACCTCCATGCATCGGTAATGTAAGTAGAGTTGAAGTGCCCCTGTACTTGGAGAGAGACTGAGGAAAGGAGACATTTCAGAAATGGACCTTGAGAGAAATTCCCTTTCCTCAGTATTGGAAATGACATTGGAGGTAGGCCAAGGAGAAAGGAGTACAGAGATTTTTTTAACCTGATCCCTAGTCTGAATAAAACAGACTTACATGCTCTCACCCATTCTGTGAAATAATGCTTTTATTTATTATTATTAGTTTTTGCTGGAGTTATGACAAGTAGGACTAGAACAGAAGGATTTATAAAACCAACATACACATATCCTTTTCAGAAGCCTCATTTAGTGGATGGGTGGGTATAGCCAAATTTCAATATGTTATCAACTGATATCTAGAAACATCTCAGACGATCACAACATGCTCACACACCATTAGGAAGAGAACTTACAGTCGTAGGCCTTCCCAGAGAGAAGGAAGAGATGGTCCCCTGGCTTGATATGTACATCAGCAAATGTAAATAATGACATAAAATATCAGTAACTATTACTGAAATGGGTATTATTGATAATACTAATTCTAAATCAATATAATGAATTATAACATAGCAAGCACAGATGTGACCATTATGCAACGCTATCAAGGGCCACTGTGGGACAAATTATTTTGAATTAGCTGAAAAAATTCCAGTTGTACCATCCAAATGCACATAGAAATGGTGGAAATGAGTGAATCAACTCTCATAGGCCTTCTGAACCTTTCTAACAGAGGGTTTGTAGACTTTCATTTGGAACCAATTGTTTAGCGATTAATAAAGAACATTGATGACTAACCCATCTCACTGGCTAGCCAACAAGCCTAGCTGCTCAAGGGAGAGGGCCAATAGTTCCCTGGACAGTTTGAATAAAAGGTTAGTGAATTCAGGGATGAATTCAGCCTTGAAGTTGTAGATACCTAACCGGAAGTTTCTCGTTTATATACAGTGGAGAAACACCAGGCATGAGAAACACTTGGACGTTCACTAATCAAAGATTAATAGAGCTAAAATGGAAACATACTAAAGACAGGATGGGGAGGGAACAGGATGATAGGGGTAATGAAATGTGAAATCTAGAAGTTACACAGAGTGGGCAAGCCCCACCCACCTTCTCACACGCTAGCTGAGTGAACTTAGGCAAGTTGTTCAACCTACTCTGACCCTTGTCTTTATCCCTTCTTATGATAGTTGCAATATTATTTGCTTCCCATGTCCTATTTCCTGAATAACTAGCATTCCTCACCAGACTCATGCTCTTTTGAAATCCGGTTTTGTAGTAGTTCCCACCAAGAGATGAAACCTATCTCTCTACATTTTTGTTAGTTTGCACAATGCTGGAAACCAGACTTTGTGACAACTCTCAGTCAAAATCTCAAGAGGATCTGCACACTTCTGGTTACATCCCCAGAATCCCGATGCCTATGGCTCCCTGACAACCATGAAAGGCATAGTCGAAGTCACTTTTATGATCCCACCAGCTTACAGCCAGGTAGCCTGCTGCATAAATGGTATCATAGGTGGTATCATCCGTATTGGGTGTCTATTGTTGAAAACAAACAATCCCCCAAACTTAGTGACCTTTTACAAATATAATTATAGCTTATGATTCTCAGGGTCGACAGAGCTCAGCTGGGTTCTTCTGTTCCATGTGATACTGGCTATAATTGCAGTCATCTGAGAATTTTGCTAGATTTGAGCAGCATCGTGGTTGGCCTATTTATATATCAAATGTTTTTACAACAGTAGATCAGGAAGGGATGTCTAAAAAAAAACCTGGTCCTCCCTTCTCTCTGTCTATCTCTGCTTTGATACTCCTTCCTTGTTCCTCCGAATTATCTGCTCTCTTCAAATTTTCTTTGTGTGACATTTCCATACCTCTATATGATACAGCATGATAGCTGATCTTTGATATGATATCTGAGGACTTTCCTAAAGGAAACTTTGTAAATTTAGACTTTCCTAATGCAAAGAGTTCAGATCAACATAATGTCACTTTCTCTCCATTCTGTTGCTTAAATTCAGTCATAAGATCATACTTGATTGACTAAGAGAGGATAGTAAGAAGGCTTGGGAGCCACTCTAGATTGGTCATCCCTGATTTACTCTCCAGTTTACCTAAAACACATGAATAAATCTAACAATGAACACTCGGAGAGACCCAGATTAGCAAATATGAACCCATCCCTAATGGGCAGACTCACAGAATCCTGAGATAAAAACAGTATTTGTTGTGTGCCGATGAAAAACCATATTCTGTTTGGGACATCAAAACATAGGAACTTGTGAGATGGGGTTGTGATGTTCAATATTAATTATTGACAGGATTTAGAATTGTTGGAAGAACACAACTGGACGTGCCTATGAGAGTTTTCCCAGGAATGTTGAATTTAGTAGGGAAAATATAGTTTGGATATGGACAGATATGGGCAGCTGGTATCTTTAGTTGGATATATATGAGAGAGCTGAACAGAAATCTATCTATCTATCACCTGTCTGTCTATCATCAATCTATCAACTATTTATCTACCATCTATCTATTATATATCAACAATTTATCTACCATATTTCTATCATCTGTCTATCATCTACCTATCATATATCTATCAACTATCTATCATCCAGCTATCTATCTATCATCTATTATCTATGTATCTATTATCTATCTATTATCTATCTATCAATCAACTATCTATTATCCAGCTATCTACCTATCATCTATTATCTATGTATCTATTATCTATCTATCAATCAACTATCTATTATCTATCTATCTATCATCTATCTATCTATCATCTATCATCTATCTATCCATCCATCCATCCCTCTCTGATTTCTGACTGTGGCTACAATGGACCCAGATGCATCATGCTTCTACCACTTTTCCTTCCCTGACATGCTCATCTATAACTTGGCATTGTAAGACAAAAGAAAACCTTCATTCCACAAGTCTCTTTACTTAGACACTTAGTCACAGCAATGAGAAAAGTAACTAATGCAATGGAAAACCTCAGCGCACACCGAGTTCAAGAACCTGGGTTGTAACGTATTTTAAAGTCCTTAATGTACAGCTAAACTGCATGCAATACTCTGAAAATAAAATAAGATGATGGAAACTTTAATCTACTTAGATAGAATGTTGTCCATCATCGTTTTAATGTCCAGAAGACCCAATATGTTATTACAATAAAGAAAAAATGAGTACCTACTTGTTGAGCACTGAAGAGATGATGGCTCAGGAGTTAACAGTGGCTGTTGCTCTTGCAATAGCCTGGGAACACTTTCTAGCACCCATTTCAACTTACAACCATAACTCCAGTTACAGAGAATCCAACACATTCTGGTCTCAGGGGGTCTCTGCAGTCATGGTGCACAAAACTCATGCAGCCTCTCTCACATATATAAGATTAAAACTAACAAATAAATCCTGTTTACAATGTAGTTTCATGATACAATAGGCTGGCAAAGGTAGAGGAAAGAATTTGTAATGTATCAGAAAAAGAAGGACAGTAAGAAAATAGTATTAATGAAAGAAATATATTCATGAGAAACACCAGCACTTATTTATCCAAACTTTGAGTCTATTATTATGCCAGAAGTATACTACTTTGATTACAACCAATGAATAGTATATTCTAAAATCAAGTAGTGTAGCGTTTACAGCTTAGTTCTAATCTTCAAAGTTTCTCTTGCCCTTTGGGATATTAAATGGATTCTTATCTATTTGGAGATTGTACATCTGTGAGAAATGTCACTGAATTTTAATGGAGACTAGATTTAATCTGTAGATTATTTGGGGTAGTACAAACACTTAAAGTATTAATTATTCTAATCCATGGATGCAGAAGAATCAAGTATCTACAGTCAATTGATTTTCAATAAAGATGTTAAATGCACAAAACCTAGAAACGTCAGTCTCACATCTTATACAAAATCAACTCATAATAAATTAAAATATTAAACACTAAGTCCCAAAACCATGTAACTACTACAATAGAGGAAAACTCACCTCTAGTTATAAATCACATACATATGTATATACATATATTACATATGCATATATATTATATTTTCCCAAAAAGCTTAGAGAAGATTTCATGGAAATAAAGATTCTGAGTAATAAGAAAATCAAGACAGAACCTACTTAATGGGAGAAGATATTTGCAACCTGTATGTGCAGCAATTAGAAAGATAGTAAGGATAAATAATGAAGTTCAAAAATCCAATCACAAAATTCAAATATTTTATTAAAATATTGGTACTGCAGAGAAGGTTCTCCAAAGAAAATATGCAAACAATCTATATGATGAATTGCTCAGTTAATCTTCAGGGAATTATTCAGTAAGACCTGAGAGTGCTAAGCATGGATAAAGAGGAAAAACACCAAGGGATGGTAAGGAGGTTGGGGGAAAGGAAGCTTTATTCCCTTGGTAACAATGTAAGTCAGGATATGATAGGAGAACCTCCAAATGTTAAAAAGAAAAGTTTCAAATGATCTAACATGTTTACAATTAGCTAAATGCCCAAAGGAAATAAAATCAGTATGTTGAAGACATATGCGCACAAATATGTTTATACAAACATTCTCAAGAGTCAATATAGATGATAGAGTCAATGTAAGTGTCCATCACTAGACACATAGATTATGGAAGCATCAACACACACACACACACACACACACACACACACACACTATTCTGCTTTAAGGACATCCCGGGTTGGTGTGTGTGTGTGTGTGTGTGTGTGTGTGTGTGTGTGTGTGTGTGTGAATTTGTGTGCATGTATGTGACCATGTCCATGAATCTGTGGACAGTGCCTTAAGTAAAATTAGCCAGTCATAGACAGACAAATATTCATGATCCTATTTTTGTGTAACATTCATGTAAGTCAAACTCACAGAAGTAGTGAGTAGCATGATGGCAACCAAGGATTAGAGGGTTAGAGGAGGTCAGATGGGGAGAGGCTGACCAAAGGACAGAGATTTGAATCAGGCAGAAAGAACAAGTTCAAGAGGCCTGTTATACAATGACATGGCTGTAGCTAGCAATACACACACATGAGAAAATGTCCTTGCTGCTTAGCTTAATTTGATTATACAGTTATTTCACAATGTGTGTGTGTATGTGTGTGTGTGTGAGAGAGAGAGACAGAGAGACAGAGAAAGACAGAGATCTCAGAAAACCATGCTGTATACCACAAAAATGTATACAATTTGTCAATTAAAATGATAATAAAAAGCAAACACAGTATAAAACTAGTTATTGCACCAATATAACTTCATATTAAATTATTTAAAATGTTGGTGAATATTCATTATTCCCTGAATTCTGTTTTAAAATGCACTTGACAATTAGAGCTCACTCAAGAACCTCACCCCATGAGTCTCCTTTACGAAAGCTCTTGGCCTCACATAATCAATTAGAATCTACTCAACATTTATAGCATTGGGAGCCAGGGGCATCCATCAAACAAAGGGCAGAGAAGTGACAGGCTTTCATGGAAGGGTGGCAAAAAGATTTATTGCAGCAACCCACACAGCATTCTCAGTACCCAGGATGAAGGTGCTGCCTGGTCTTCCAGCGGGAGGCAGGATTACTTCAGAGGTCGATTCAATTGCCTTCTCAGTCTCTCTTGAAGGCAGTAGGGCAGCGCCACTCAGATTTGTCACAGTAGATCAGGTTTTCTCATTGCGCCTGTGGATGGTGGTCCTGCTTAGACTACGGTGCCATTTGAAAGGTGTTGAAGGACCTCTTTGAAGATGGATGATGCCAGGCCTGAAGTGCGTGTGTAGAATGTGGTGTCCTAGTAGAACTGTGGGGAAAGGATTGTGAGCCCTGGGTGGATCTCCCACAGGCTTCAGAGAAGAGCTGGTTTCTGTCTTTGAAATATCAGGGCTGACACCATGGAGTGGACTAATGGGGAAAGACCGTCTGCAAGGCAAACCTGATGACCTGAGCTCCATCCCTACAAACATAAGTGGAAGAGAGAGACTTATGTCACAAAGATGTCATCTAGCCTTTCCATGCACTCCCTGGCATCTGCCTACACACATGCTCAACACACACAAGCACAAGCGCACACACTGAGGCACACACATGCACATGCGCACACTCACGTGCACACCCACAAGCGATCTGGCTAACACACACACAGAGGCACACACACACACACACACACACACACGTTCGTATGCACACCGACACACGTGCACACACACGTGCACACAGACATACACACACAGTTCTATGCCTGTTATTGGGCAGTACTCTTTTGGCTAATCTCTAGTGTACATTTTTGGCATTTGACCTTGCAGTGCACATAAACAAATTTTCCCTCAGTTCTAGCACCTGTGTAAGCGCTGCAGAAACACTGTAACCTACATCCGGCTTGACCTACATTGGATCCCTCTTCTCTGGCTTGCTAGCTGTGTGACTCACAGCAAGTAACCGCTGTGAGTTGTTTTCACATGTATAAAAGGAGAAGACTAGCAACTACCCAGAAGGGTGGCTGACACTTAGTCTGATGCAGAGAACAACCTCACGAGACAATGCTCAGAAGATAGAAGAGGGAGATTCAAATTGCTTTTGACCCTCGATGGAAAAATGAGCTTTGGTCTCCAGCTATTGCATCTTTTCATTAAATAAACATAAGGTGACACTGCTCCCCACAGCCCTGGAGAAATGACTTAATTAAATCATTTATGCTTGATAACAGCTGTGCCTTCCCAGGATAATTTTTACTCTGTCAGCTATCCCCCAGAACAAGCAAGCAGCTTAGGGATTTAGACACATTCTGCAAGTGTCAACATCATAGAGTTTTTCTGTTTGTTTGGAATTTTCCACCATGGTCAGTCATTTGGAAAGAACTGGAGAGTTGGGATCTGGCAGCCATGAGTTGTACAATCATGTTCAACATCAGAGTCTGCTTGAGTTTCCCATCTTGGAGAATGGATGGAAACTCTTCTGGGCCTTAGGTTACAACTTCATTGTAGGAGTGATGACTACCATGCCATGGATGACACTATATGTATGAGGAAAAAAGAAGAGCCCAAGCATCAAAAACCTTTTAAACAAGGTAGGACCCATGTGACAATTATAAAAGCCACAGGCTTATAGGACATATCAGACACTCTCTTTTCTGCATGCACTCTATTTGGAATTTATCTGGAATTTCACAAATGAGTAGTCTTCAAAGACAATCACAAAATTCTTGGTATGTAAGACACAATTGTGGATACTGAATATTCTGTTAACGTACTCGAGTTAAAGATCTTTTCTGAGGAAACCAACTATTAAAAGCATTGGCATTTACACTCCTAATAAATGAGATCAGCACTTGACTTTATAGTGTGTATAAACTTCCTAGTATGTGTATGTGTGTATGGCATGTGTGTGTGCACTGGTACTGTTTCACTACAATTACTACTATAATTAAAGATATAATCAGAGTTGATTTCAATATTTTCTAAGTCTTAGGACAGCACAGAAGTGAAAGAGAGATTTAAAAGAAATATCACTACTTATTACAACAAGTATTTAGAGATCAAGTACCTCAGAAATGTCTTCTCTTTGATACTGCACCATGGATATCATCAGAAGGTGAAATGGAGGATAGTAGAGTTGAACAGATTTGTTGACTTTGGACTATATCTAGATGGAGAATCTCAAAATCCTGGCACCTATCACAGAACAGCAGGGGCAGTAGACACTGCCAGAGGTGTGATTTATGTGGAGCTAAACACATCCATTTTTTCCTAAACTCGACTTAAGTTGCATTTGCCAGAGTACTGTATCTCAGCAATAGTAAAAGGAAAAGTATCCCATTATACAATGATAAAACTCTTACCCCTTATCATGAAACATTCTTCATATAGAAGATACAAGGAATTTGGATGAAGAGCTCTAAATTCTTAGTTCAACTCTGCCACGCCCTTGCACAGCCTGTGTCCGAAAATCTGTGGAGGGTGTCGGGACTGATGACACAGAGACCAGTCAGTGGTGAAAGAAGGCTTCAAGAAGGCCTCAAGAAGGCCTCGCTTTATTCTTACCCCGGCTGGTTATATGCCCCGACCCCAGAGGCAGCGGTGAGGGGTCAGGAAGAAGCGGTTAATCATTGGAAAGGTCAAGGTCAGGGTGTTCCCATGGGTGAGCCTTCTGAAAACACCAGGAAATTATTGTTCCAGTAAACATGCTGTTAGGGACACCGGATTGTTTTTTGGTAAACGTGTTTTCTACTGGTTACAGCTGCCTGCTCCCAGGCTGATGGGGAAGTGGGCCTCTGGCCAAGGTCTCCTATTCCCACACAACTCTTCATTCTTAAGGTAAATGAATTGAGGAACTGTAAGTCTCATTTTCATGTTTTATCTCTAAAAATAAGACAGAACATATAAACATGCACTCATGAGTTGGGAGGGATGAAAGAAAGGAGGGGTGGGGGATAATTTCCCAGAACTAAGAGTGTATGAAGAAGACACATGGAAGCCTACTTTAGAAGATAACTTTAAAATATAATTTGAGATAATCACCAACTTTCCCACCTTTGAATCATACCAGTTATAAAAAATGACCAGCCTCATAAGACATGCCTGCTGGTGTAACAGTGACACACACACGCCATGGGAGCAGTCAGCCCTTTTTTGACTGGGTTTAATGCCCATTCTACAGGTTGAAACCTGTATATGACATCACTCTTGGGACATACAGGAAGTACAGAGAACAAGTAGCTGCGAAATGCCCAGCACTAAATGGGCACCTACAGAACAGCCCCTCTCCCTTGAGGAGGATCATTGTGGAAGAGGAGGTAGAGCAATGTTAGTAACAGTTAGAGGCAGCAGATGGATCCAGGGAAGCAGTTTTCTGGACACAGTAGGAAGGTGGCTTGTCCAAGCTCATTTTTTGACAGTGTGCACAGGCATGCACATACTTCAGCCAGATAGAGTCCCAACGTGAAGTGTGAATGAGCACAAAGTCCCCCCTTTAGCTAAGGAGCTGTTGGCAGGGTGGGAAAAAGGAGAGTCTGTTTTCCTTCAGTGTGAGGTCTCTGGTAGTTACCTACACATTCCAGTAGAAGGCTGCATGCCCAAAAGTTTAAAGGCTACAAAGACTGTCCTTGATGGAGAAATGTAGGGGGGCAGGGGGGTGTAGTAGATGTTTAAGGAATTATATCTGGGAGGAACTGGGGGAGGATGATGATTACACTGTACAAAATTCTCAAACAATGAATGAAAACAATAAAAACATGTATAAAAGTACATGGCCTAGATGGATAATGCTTCTTTCAGAAGCCATAGGTTAGGAAATGAAATCCTTGTTCCAGGTGTGGAATATTTCCCCGAGATGTTAGCCAAGAAGAACCCAGAGGTCCCCTAAATAATACGGCTGCTTCCACTACTTTTGGTTGCTTTGGTGCTTTCCCAGGCTTCGGTGGTCACCCAAGCATCGGTGGCATGCATTATCCATGCTACCGCTGCTGACGTGTAGAACAACTGTCTCATAATAAAGAAAGGGCATATTCATTGTTGCCCCACTTTGTTTAAAGCTTTCAATTCTCCCAGTTATGCTCCCCACCTCTGATGCCCCACCAAGCCTCATTAGGAACCTAGACTATCATCACCTTAATGGAGTCTCAACAGTTATATTTTTCTATTCAGTATTTCAGGCAATCTTACAAGAGACGGAGTCTTTGGACTTCCCCTGGACTTAAAATACAAGCACCCTTATATAAAAGATGCTCTTGAGTAATTGCTTGGAATTCGTGGATGAGTCAGAGAGTACTCACATCACACGAAGCTTATATTACAACTCAAAGGTCCCCTAGATGCTTCAAAGGGTAGCTGAGTGCAACGTTAGTTCCTCTCGTTCAGGACTTAAGCTTGTGTTTGACTCTGTGAAGGAGGGTGCTATGGCTTGAACACTCACCCCACTTGCATTTAAAATGTAATGTGTTGGGGCCTTTGCAGTGGTGTTTAGGTGAGGAGCTCTCCGCAATCCTGAGGGGATCAATACTTCTATAAAAAGAACTTGGGGTGGTGTGTTCATGTCTTCTGCTCTTCCACTGTGTGAGGACAGACACAGTGCTCTCTATCCCAGGAGTACAGACATGCCCTCTAACTTGCTGGCACCTTGATACCAGGTTTCTAGCAGAAATATATTTTTGATGTTTTGCTTGTTGGTTTGAGATGTTCCACTATGTAACCTAGACTGTTCTCAAATTTTCTTTGTGTGTGTGTGTGTGTGTGTGTGTGTGTGTGTGTGTGTGTGTTGACTGCTCACATATACTTATATGCTTGCATGTGGATGGGTAGTGGTGAACTTTGAGTGCCCTCTTTAATAATTATTCACCTTATGTTTTTACATAAGTTATTTATTGAACTTGCATGAGTGGAACAGAGTGTGTCTGGTATTGAGTTTGGATAAAATATACTAGAGAGAGTGATTCTCAAGGTATTCACCAAGGTCAGCAAGGTACTGACATTTTGGGACACAAAGAAAATGAACAAACCTAAAAAGAATGTACCCAAGAAAGGCTGGATAGGGGTCCCTGCTCCTGTTAACAAACACCTATATTCATATAGACAACTGACGCATCTGCTTGGAACACACACACACACACACACACACACACACACGATAGGAAATGGATGAGGGAGTAGTTAGAGAGAGTGGAGGATTAACAGGAATGAAAGGGGGATAATACAAGGAACAAGAAGTAAATACAATTGAAATATGTATGCGCATGGAGATGCCACAGTGAAAACCTGTTATTATCTATAATGAAAACATATGAAAGATACATTTTATTTATACAAGTGGAGCACTTACCTCCTATGTATGGGACCCCCGGGAATGAAGTCTCAGAACTGCAAAAAAGTAATGATTGGGCTGGTAAGATGGCTCAGCAGGTAAGGCTGTTTGCTGCCAAGCCTGATGATCTGATTTTAATCACCTAGTCCCACAATGTGGAAAGAGAGAAGGACAACCCTGCAAGTTGTTACCTAATCTCCACCATATGCTACAGCATGTGTACCCCCTCTCCAAAAAAAATACACATATAAAAGTTCTTTAAACAAACAAGTGAATACAAGATATGTAGAAACCCTAGGAACAAAATAATGAGATGTTACAAGCAATTTTAATAAATTAAAATCTTAGCCATACTATGTACAGTTTGCCATTTTGCTGAGAACTTTGTGGAATGGGAAATAGTTTGCCGTGTCTAAAGTGAGCAGTGCATGAGAAATGGGTGGGGAGAAAACAGAGATGACTGGCATGTTAGGATACGAAAGCGAAGACCGCTGGGTAATTTAGTGAAGAGCTCACCTTGACAAAGATCTCCTCACAGCTCAGGAAAAACGGATTCAACACCTGAATGAAAAGAAACTGACTCCTAATGGCCTGCAAAACCTTAATGCGTGCACTAAATAGCATCATTACCATTGCGTACCGAAGCTGGCACATATTGGCTAATGGTAGGGTCAGGGCCGAAGGCCTTTGCACAGCCTTTGTTTCAATATTTAATATGCTACCAAGATGCCAGCATTTCCTTCAGTAGCTGTTGCGAAATGCTGCAGTGAAAGCTAGCCACCTGTTAATTACTGCACAAAACCAGCCGAGTCCAAAGTCATTATTTGCACGCTGCCGATAATTACAGCCACACAATTTCGAGGCGTCCTCTTGGATCTTTCTCGGCACAAATGGGCAGGCTGGGATGCCAAACAGGTGAGGGTGATTTGAAAGAATAATAATAAATTTCATCTGGAGCACGAGCAATTAAGAGATGTTGGCTGCAGACAGTATACTCTACACAAACAAATCTAGTAAGAGATCATAAGGAAGGAGAGAAGCTTGGCTCCTGGCTAGATGGCCTCTCACAAGACCGGCCGGCACATCAAACACGTATGATTTCTCCAGCGAATAAACTTGGAGTCAGAAGTTAAGATCCGGGTGGGGGAATCCTTAAGTCCCACTCCTAGTATAATGGACAGACTTAGGCTTCTCCCTCACAATGGACAGACTTAGGCTTCTCCCTCACCATGGACAGACTTAGGCTTCTCCCTCACCATGGACAGACTTAGGTTTCTCCCTCACCATGGACAGACTTAGGCTTCTCCCTCACAATGGACAGACTTAGGCTTCTCCCTCACATCTAGTTGAGTGTGCAGACATGAAATGAGCAGGACTTGGAACAAGAAATTTTATGATTGCCATGCGATCCACCAACAGCTGACACACATAATGAGGGTGGCGAGAGACATCTGCCCTGCTGGAATGAAATGCTAAAATCAAAATTTCAGAAAGGAAAAAAAATCAAAATTTAATTTAGGAGCTTGGCATATTAATGACCCAGTAAGACAATGAGCCATTTGGGATTACATGTCCTGATCCAAAATGCCAGTATTTAGATTCATGCATTTGGAACGAAGCATATTTGAAGACATCAGATGACAGTCTACGTTTTGACATATGTGTTATCTGCCACCCTAAATTTGTCACCAGAAATCTGTAGTACAAATCCCAAAGCCTCCTTCCTAAATTGATGATTTTCATTGGTTTTTTAAACCAAATTAACAAAAGATTATTATGCATCTGTTAATATATGGATATAAAGGTCAACAGTGCAGATAGCAGTTCACATATCTTTTGTATGGAGGTTGTACGTGTTTCTACAATTCAGGTTAAAACCAGAGATAGGGAAAGAGTTTTTAAAAAAGAGAAAAAGAAATAATAGAGTTGACACTCACCTGCTCATCTTTGTAACAGAAGCTTAACCAAATCCTCCCTCATTCTATTTTCTCCTACCTTCCTTCCCAGCAGGTCAGTGGGAAGTTGGGATGTATCCAGTATAGGACACTCAAGTCCCTCTGGGTCTTTCTTCCCCCACACTATCTCTGTCTCTCTCAACAGTGCTACTGACATATCTTCTCTAACCATTTCTTCTCTGTATTTCTGAAGGAGTGATCTTAAATTTCACGAAACTACTTGAGGATGAGGACAGTACATAGAGCTTCAACATGTCCACAACTGTTTTTGAACATTTCAAGTTATTGTGGTAACGCTTGTCGGAATTGAGGACTTTAGGGTGATAACTGGTAGGTGAAGCCCACACTTTTATTCAGATTCTCTCGGGTCTTCCCTCATATCTGCTTTTCGGTTGTAGGATAACATCTTGTCTGTGGTTTAAAGCCTAGTGGTCAGGTCTAGTTGGGCTCATCAGCACTGTAAACCCAATATGTTTCATTCCCTCAGAGGGAACTTTTGTTGATGAACTACAATCCAACTTTTAGAAGTACGTGGTTCAGTGGTTTCTGAGAGTTACAGTTTTGCAGCCATCAACTCTACAGAGTTACAGATCATTTCATTATTAGGAAAGGAAGCCCAGTAATGATTAGTAATCATGTCCATCTCCTGCTCTCCAAGGCCTTCACAATCTCTCATCTATTCTGTTTCTATGGACTTGACCTAAGTGGACACTGCCTACTGTATGTAAATTTCTGTCCTGACTTCTTTCCTCAGCCTGTGTTGAAGGCCAACTACGTTGTCTATACTTGCAGTGAATGTCTTCCTTTGACCGAATGAAAATTCATTGTATGATATATCATTTTATTATTTCCTTTATGAATATATGTGTTTGTAGTTTTTGTTACTGTGAATGATGCTGAGAAAAAAATACATTCAAGCATATGGTGGTTTATGTTTCTAGTACTATTATTTCTATATATGCAAATGAATTTTTGTAGTTGATTTTAATATTTTAATTTTCTGGAATGGCTAGGCTGATTTCTCGGTGATCCCACCACTCCTCGTTCCTAGTCTCCCTGTTTGTTTCATCTGCAGTGTTCATTATTGTGTGGTTTAAGAATAACACCTTATTATGAAGTGGTATTGATTTATTTTAATGAGAATTAGAAACTGCACATGGTTAGTGTGCACAACATGACATTTTAAAATGTGTACATTTTGTGATGGGTAAATTGAGATGACTAACACTCATTTTCATGTGCAATGTATCATATTTATGGGAGCGACCATTAAAGTTTATTGTTGCATACTTACCCTTAGATTGAAGAGAAATTTTCAGAATATCCTATTATGGTTTAGTTTGCCTTTCTTTAATGAGCAATAAGAAAAAGTATTTTTCCTGTGATTAGTCATTTACTTATGCTTTTCAAAATTTTCTGTTTCAAAACCTTTGTTCATTTTTTCCTATTAGGTTCTTTCTGTTGTAGATTAATCCTTTGTCAGATGCTTAATCTTGTCTTTTCACTTTCTTCATACATAAGGAGTTTTATTCAATATATCCGTGTCTTCTTTGTATGAATAAATGCTTAGACTCCATGGTGTCTCCTTTTTTGTGGCTGAGAGTGCTACAGCTTTACAATGAACATTGAAGTATGTGATAAATTATGGATTAATGACTGCATGTGTTGTTAAGCAGGGGGCCCAATTTCCCTCTCTCACCTGTGGATATCCTGTTGGCTGCCATGACGTTGTGCAGGTAACCATAGCTACTGTGGGTTCGTGGGCGTTGTAACTATGGCACGTGCAGAAGACAGCACTCCACGGAACCCTCCCCTGTCCTCCCTGTCGCCTTTTCTGTGTTGTCCCCGAACACTGGTAGCATGCTAAGGGGGGAGGCATCGGTGAAAACATGTCCTGTTATTGACCACTTTGTAAATCGTTTTCAATAGTACTATATAGTTTCCATCATTTAATTCTTGTACTTTTTCTGTTAAATGTCTTTTTCATTTTATTTCATTTTTTAAATGCTATTACAAATTGAATTGCTGCCCTAATTTCATTTTGGATGTTCATTGCTAATGTACAGAGAGACAATTGATTTTCTTATATTGATCTTGTAACCCTACTAGAATTAATCACCAGTTAATTCTGACATTTTTATTATTATTTCTTTGCACTTTTATATGCAAGGTCATCCAAACAGGAAGAGTCTTACATTTTCTTTTCTTGTGTAGATTTTTGCACATATGTAATTGCTTCAGCTTAAGCCTCCAGCACAATAATGAACACAAATAACAGGAACAGACACCCTTATCCTGTCCCTGACCTCAGAGGCATACAGTGTGCCATTTGTTGCGGGGTTTTGAGAAATGCTTTCAATAGGGTCAAGGAGCTTCTCTCCATTCATGGGCTTCCCAGTGTTCCTGTCATGAGAATACATTAGTTTTGTGATGGTTCCCCCGCATCTCTGTGAGATTTTGATGTTGTGTTCGTCATTCTGCTGACATTTGGGTTGCGAGTCTTAGTCTTTATTGGCTGAGGTATCTCTCCTGCCACATGTTCCCATCTATGTATTAATTGCTTTTCCTGTTGAGATCTTATGCTTGATAATTTTTCTTAGGGACTTAAGTGTCTGTGGTGATAAGGGACACCTGCCTTACTTTATATATGATCCCTTTATCTTCTTTATCACTTTGGGTAATAATAGCTTCTCAGGATGAATTGGTAACTGTAACTTTTGAAGATTTTTTTACAGATTGTTACAACATCCAATGATAAAACTTATTTTTCTTAATGCTGTCCAAAAGTAATCTGGAAATTAACTAGACTCGGGACTGTCTTTGAGGGAAATTCTTAAATTCCTTATTTTCCATTCACTTAACCTGTTTATTCTTCCCATATAACTTAGAATCTGTTAGTTTGTATCATTTACCACCAATGCATCAGTGAAAATCCAAAAGAGGAGTCATTTTGTGTTGTTTGGATCACTGTTACTTAATGCTTGAGACAGTGCTAATTATTTGTTAGATGAGTTAATGAGTATGAGTGTTTCATATGTAATGTCTGTGTGTGTGTGTGTGCGTGCATGTGTATGTATGTGTGTGTGCATTTGCATGTGTGAGTGTGTTGCATGCATGAATGTGTGTGCATGTGGTGTATGTGGTGTGTTTGTGTGTGCGTGCATGTGTATGTGGTGTGTTTTGTGTATGCATGTGGTATCTACATGTAGCTGTGTATGTGGTATGAGTGTATGTGGTATGTGTGTATATGGTATGTGTGTGTGTGTATATGTGAGAGTGTGCGGTATGTGTGCCTGTTGTGCGTGCAGACTGATATTTTCAAGGCGCTCAATAAATGCCAGAGTCCTATAGCTTCCCTCAGCCAGGAATAAAGACAAAGCCAGGAGAAAATCATGAGGAGATAAATCTTTGTTTGCTCCTTTTGTTAATTAAGATCCATGCCCTGTTCTCAAATTCACATTTCCAATTATGAGAGACTCAATGTAATGGTGAATAAATAATGGATGAATGCATTACAAAACAATGAAATACCTAAAAAGTATGCAATTAAATGCAAAGTTGCTTTATGTGCTCCTGTCTGAAATGAGAACTGTGTATCCATAAGCACTGTCCTGAGAGTGGCTGTGTATCTCAGGAAGAATGTTGGGATGCCTATGGTCTAACAATCATGGAATATTGGTTCACAAATTCAATGGGCACACACCTGGTACACACACACACACACACACACACACACACACACACACGCGCGCGCGCATGCGCGCAATGATAATATATGCATATATAAACAAAAAGGAAGTGATCCTAACCCTAAAATGTTCAGTATTGTATTGCTCAAGGGACATTAAAACAAACTACATACAAATAATATTTAACCCTCACAATGAAGAATATAGGAAATGAAACTACAGGCGATAATATTAGTGAATAACAAGGGATTT